ACATATCTAAAAAAAAATGTAATAGTCACTAAAATTGTCTTTTAGTGTTTAAAAGCGAGTACCTCCATGGAAAATTGTTCGATTTGCGAAAGTTTGTTCTGAAAAAAAAAAAAGAAATTATAAAAGTCTGGGCTTCGAGAAAAGTGCAAATTGTACACCGTACTAACCTGAGTGCAAGTAGGGTGTTGGCTCCTATTGGTCAAAGCACTTTACTTATGCAGTTCCGTTACTGCTGTTTCACTCATGCACTGACTCACCATCTCGGTCCAAAGATCATTGCATTGTTTGTTCTTCACCTGGGCTGCTAGTGGTAAAGGATCCTAGTTCTTCCTGCATGAAGCTGAAAGATTGTAAGGCGCTTCTATCAACCACTATATCATCTCACATGTGGACCAGTTTTTCCTACATGAGGCCAGAGGCTCAATAGAAAGACTTTTCTCAATGTGGCACTAAGTGTGTCCCAGACCGCTCATTTAGAGCTCAGAAGAGGCAAAGGTAGGGTGGAGACCTGAAACACTTCCCTTTGTAGGAAGCAGTGCCCATGTGCGCTGGTCTTATAGGAAATTCATTCATTTTCCTGCTTAAGGTAAGAAACTCACTTTAGTTCTTTTTATAATTTCAAAATATAACTTATGCTCTGTGTCCTGGTAGAAAAGCATTTTAAAGCACAAAGCATTTAAATCATGACAAGAATTTTCTCTGTTGCTCTGTGCTTGGCTTGTTTTTATTCTAAACTCTAAACAATGGGAAAAAAGAGAAAGGTAGACGATTTTCTCCAATATCAACTTTTTTAAAAATATAGTAGTTTTTTTAATCTGTTTAAATCAAGCATGTATTCTATTGTATAAATATTTGAGGATGAAATGTCTTGCTGTGAAGAAGTCCCATTCTGTCAATTAACACAGTTAAATGTACAAAAAAGCAAATAAAATGGTTTGTAGAAAGTTATTTAGCATAAAGAAATCCATTACTTGCAAACTACTATATATTGTGTATAGTATAGATAGATCCTGTATTCTATCTAATTTATCTGCACCATCATCACCAAGTCCAATTCCTTGAAAGTGCAAACCTACTTGGCAATAAACTGATTCTGAAAACTCTTTTTCCAGATTACAGTTGCATGTGCATTTTTATTATTTAAATACATTCAATGTAATTTCCAAATAATATGTGCAAATTTTGAACTAACTGTAAGAAAGAATGTATGTATGTGTTAAAGCACAGCTTGTTACTATAGACCCTTTCCATCTAGCCCTGCTGTGAAGCTAGTGGAAGGATATAATTATTTTCTTCTCATGTTTTTTTTGTTTTGATAATACTTCAAGATCCATTTTTAATTAAAGGACAAAAACAAAAGGAATGCTACTTTTCAGACAAACTTACCCAGCTTTACACCTGCAAGGGAAACTGACGAGAAAAAAATATTTTTATACTTTGTTGAGAGCTTCAACCAACCTCCAAATATACCTTTTGTTGATACCCTGAGAAACAATAAATCTAATATGTGCCAGCATTTATGCTTTATACAAACTCTTGGATGGGGGAAAAAATGACAGCTCCGAATGAGCAGATTTAATAGCCAAAACATTTTTGAGAAGTTGTAAGTTGAATACTTGTCTAGTTCTTTTACCTTTGTATCTAGCTGATTTATAAATTGGAAAAAAAAAAAAAAAAACTATTTTTGATTGTATCATAATCGCATTATTTTCAAAGTAATTTTTTTTTTTTTTTTTTTTCAGGGTTAAATTATGAAAAAGTCCTGAGGTAAAGATGGGGTCAGTACAGTCGTACTTCAACAACTTGCGTGGAAAAGAAAAAAAGCAGGGTAAGCTTTACTGTTATGTTACATGTTTGTTAACTGTTTTCTGAGTAATGAGAGTTTTTACATACTGTACTTGGAGAGCCTCAAAATATCTCAAAAAAGTTCTCTACTTTTATTTGTGTTAAAATAAAATGTACATTTACTGTTCTGCTGCGTTTCTTAGAGGAGGAAAGACATGTTCGAGCTAATGACAGAGCTTTCAACCTGTCTTACAACTATGCAGTAAGTGGATCCTGCAGGAGGTTTTTTACTATAACTTAAAATATTTTATCTGCACTGCCTTGTAAAATTTGAATCTTTTCACAGTTTGTCATGTTAAAGCCACTATTTTTATTGTACTTTGCTGTAATCTCATGGAAAATACCAATAAAATACAGTGTACCATTTTTTATTTTAATTGATAGGATGCATGATTTTTTTTTTTTACAAAATATTTTGAAGATGTATACTTTTTATTCAGCCCCCTTTTTTGTGGTGCTGATAAATGTAAAACGAAAAACAAAACTGACTTATGAATTTTTTTAATTCTTTTCAACCAGTTTTAATTACTTCAAATTTTATTTAAATTGATTTAATTAGATTTTCTGTATTAATATGTAAAGATACAGCTTTTTTTATCATAAGAAAAAGGGAGTTCCATAAAGTCTAGAACACAGAGGATTCGTGAGGATACAATTAAAAACAGTTAAGAAATGAAGCATAGCCCAAAGCTTTTGACTGTTAACTCCATCATTAAATTAGAAACAATTTTGCACAACAAGGAACCAATGAAGATATCTGTCAAAACTGAAAGTTCAGGCAAGGATAGTATTAATCATGCAGCCATGGTTACCAGGGAAGGGCTAAAGTAATTCACAGATCAACTATTAAGTGGATGATTGATAAGAAGCAATCTGTTGTGGAAAGCAGGGCATAAAGTCCCATTTCAAGTTTATCTCAAGCTATATAGAGGACACAGTAAATGTGCAGAAGAATGAGACCAGTTTCTGAACCTCATGCAAAACCCCAACAGCGTGATATACTAATGGATAGCATTTAAAGAAACATGCATGTTTGGCTGATTTACTAATCGGTTGCTCCACGATTTGCATCTGTGAAATGATGAAAAAGAGGATGGGGTCGTAATCGATCCATCTAGCCTGCGTACCTACTTATAAGTGCAGAACACGTGCTGATTATCAGAAAGAGCAAAATGCTGGGATGAGGAATTGCAAATGGTATTAACCATCACCCGCAATGAGATTTTTTAAATGTGAAATAGTGTATACATATTAAGCACATTTAAAAATTTGGTGAAAACTTACAGTTAAATAAAAAAATCCTTCCAGCATTTTATATTCTTGCTTTTTGATGCTCATTCAAGCGTAGAATTACAATTGGTGGCATTTCCCTGAATAGTTTTCCTCATGTGCTTCCAAGCAATGGAGGTTTATTTGAGAGATAATAGGGCACAATAGACACAATAAACAGTTTTAGTCGAAACCTAGTCACCAATAAGTCTGCTTTGGAAAACCTAACTGATTTATGTAGAAAACTACGGCACACATGGACATGAAAGTGCTTTTTATCCTCAGAGTAACATATTTATTTGGATTAATCAGTGGTAAAATAAATTTTTTTTATATCTTATTATGAAATAAATATGAGCTCTGTAAATGCCAGTCTTCTATCCATCTCTTTCTTAGGCTACTTGTATCATTGTTAAAGTTTGTAGTATTCAGATTCCAGAATCTACACCATCATGTTTGTGCCTCCAAGTCGTCTGACAGGCAACAGTTGCACATAATTATTTCTTTTCTTCTCATCCTTTTCACATAAGGCCCTGCCATTTCTGCCGTGATCTATTATGTTTTCTTAAAATCTCCATGGTGATAGCCAATTAGAGTTGGTAGTACACACAACACCTTTTTTGATTAAATATAGCGAAATAATGGTTACCCTGGTTGGGGAAAAAAATCAAAAGGTAGGAAACTCTTGAGACTAGGTTGGACATTCACATTTCAGGGAATTAAACAGAACAACAACCTTAAACATACAGCCTGGTTTAGAAAGATTCTTAGATGAATAGAAAATAAAAACAACAACAATTTGCAATTTTGTCTGCAAAGCTAGTAAAGACATAACCAAGAGACTTTTAGCTGGTACTGTTGCAAAAAAAAAATGCTCTTCAAAGTATTGACTCAACAGCCTTGTGGGGAACAGCTCACAATATTTTTCAGATTTTTATTTGAAGAAAACAAGAAATCTGCACTACTTTCTTTCCTTAGTATGCACAACATGTTGTCGATTTGTCACAAGAAATTTCAATAGTGTTGAAGTCTTTGGTTGTAACATGACAAAATGTGAAAAATGTATGGGATTACCTTTACAAGGCACCGTAGACTTGCACACATGTCGATATTCTACTGTGAGCTGTAAGTATTATTTTATGAACTAACTGTTATGTGTCACTTCCCCTTTCTTAGAACAATGCCATCAGGACCTCCAAGTACAACATTTTCACCTTTCTACCTCTTAATCTGTTTGAGCAGTTCAGGAGGCTGGCTAATGCTTACTTCCTGTTCCTCCTCCTTCTTCAGGTAGACAATTCATCGTTTCTATTTCTATCCATTTTCAAACAACTTATCTTTAAATGCTACTCATTACAGTTACATATCTTTGTTCGAATTCTCAAATAAGCATTTTCTTACATCAGCATTGATTAATAATTTTTAAGTGAAATCAATTTGACTATTCATTTTACATAGTGTAAACAAATTTTATGAACTGAACTATCTAACAGAGGGAATAACCGCTCTTCCTTCTTTTGTGCAGTTAATTCCACAAATCTCCTCTCTGTCATGGTTCACCACAGCTGTGCCTTTAGTTATGGTGCTGGCCATGACAGCGGTTAAAGATGCCAATGATGACATAGTAAGATAAAAGCCTTACATTTATAAAGAACATTCTAACCTTAACCCTCCTTGAGTCTCAAACAAACATTTGAGTAAACCATGTCTTTTTCTTCTGTCAACTGAGTAGAACAGGCACAAAAGTGACCGACAAGTGAATAACCGCATGGTGAGCGTCCTCATTGATGGAGAGTAAGTCGTTTTATTAGTCAAACATTAGATCACAGAGTTGTAAATTATTTACAGTTTATGAGGAAGTATCTGTGGTTGTTTTAAAGGGTATTTGCCCTCCACATTTTTGAAAAACAAAATGTTTTTTTTCTCTACAGACTGAAAAATGAAAAATGGATGAATGTTCAAGTTGGGGATATAATTAAACTGGAGAGCAATCAGTTTGTAACAGTATGTAATGGCTTTACAAATTTATACAAAAAAATCAATTACCAAACATTTTGGAAAGGTTAACTCATCAGTCAACCTTAAATAGAGTTTTATTAACATCCAGTAAACCATTAGCTCTGAAAACCATTAACAAAGTTTATCTTTCACAGGCAGACCTTTTGTTGCTGTCCAGCAGTGAGCCACTTAACTTGGTTTATGTGGAAACAGCCGAGCTAGATGGGTAAATGTTGTACATCTGTTTTTTTTTTTGCTCACACATTATTTGCATCGTTCTTATAACCTAATGGTGGTCCACAGTGAAACAAACCTTAAAGTGAAACAAGCCTTGACTCTCACAGGAGAGATGGAGGACTCCATTGAAACTCTCTCAAACTTCAAAGGTGAGACATTCTCTAAGAAATTCATGCTACAGAGAATCAGAAAACCAGTTTAACAGAAAAACAGTGATGTGAATGTTTTTCAAATGCACATTTTAAAAATATCACATCAGAAAAGCTTCATGGTAACGTCACAATTTAAAAAGAAATCCTTTAAATTCTCAAACATGTATGCTCGATTCAGGTGTTTAAAGGGTTGATGCACAAAACAGGAGATGGAAAAATGTTTTTTTGAAACAGCACTGATGTAGAAAACTTTTACATCACATGACTGATCAACTCTCTCTGCTGTCGCCATCGTCCCTGATGTTCCTGTTACCTGGTTATTTGTGTAAACATGGATGAAATAAACATTGCCAACACTAGCTGACATGTTAACATAAGAACATTTTCCCAATAGCAATACAGTCACTAAAACTTCTCAACATTACTGATCTGTGGTCAGTACTAGACTGCAGTGACATCATGTGGATGACAACGTATGAGGACATTACTGTACGCTTTGTAAGCTTGGTTAATTTGCTTTAGACCAAAATTATAGGGGCACCTACACTCAAACTTATGTTTGGACAAAGTAACAAACCCGGGTTAACATAAGACCATCCAAAAATGGATGAATCCTAGTGATCAAGGTGTACATCTAAAAAAGGTTCAAGCTTACTGAAAAGTTTGCTTTAATAATTGTTGGGTGATTGTCACAGAAAATTTGTGACCATTAAGTGTTCATCAGTTTATAATACATGCAAAATTTGAAGGAGACTAAAAAACCAAAAAAAAAATCTGAAAACCATTCTAGAAATGGACTTTCTTTTTGGAATAATATTTGAAAATAGTTAATAAAAATGAATGTATGAATATTTACTTGCCAACAGTCAGCACACCTTCCACTTACACTCAATGATTGTTTTGCCAACATTTCTTTGTTGGATAGGTATTTTGTTTCCAATAACGTACTTATAGCATGTGATACATCTCTTGGGTTAAATTTAAAAAATGTTCCTGTCTTATAATGATCATTCATACTTGTTACTTATTGAGTTTGATATCTTGCTAATGCCTGTGCTTTTCAGGCGAAGTGCGATGTGAGCCTCCAAACAACCGTTTGGACAAATTTAAAGGGACCTTGACTGTGAATGGACAAAATTATGGCCTGGACAACGATAAGATACTTCTCAGAGGATGCACACTGAGAAACACAGAGTGGTGCTTCGGTCTGGTCATCTTTGGAGGTAAAAACCCCACCACTTTTGCTTCTTTAAGGGTCTTGATTTATAACATATATATTTTCACTTTAGCTACTGTTATAAAAGTGTCTGCTGTGAACCTAAACTTTGAGTCTGGCTACTTAAGATAAAAAGCCTTTGAAATCATTGGGAGAGAAACTCTTATATTGCTCACTAATCAAGTCTACATGATTCCACTAGAGGACGCTAATAATGAGCTATTATGGCTGCTGCTTTTAGAGAAACAAATAATTATTTTGTTCAGCTTTGAATTGTGTAAAGTTACTGCACATTTACATGTGATTAAATTATCATTTCCACTTGTATTTAAGCTATTGAGACTTATACAATTGTTGTTTGCACTGCTTGTTCAGTCTTGGCATTGACTGAGTGTTGTTCTAAAAAAAGAAAAAAAAATTTTTTTTCATGTATCCTAGCAATATTCAACCAAATTATGAGGGGCTACTTATTTCAGCCCCGAACCTCAGCCAATACAAACAAAAAGGTTTTTATTTTTATTTATTTCAGATATATTTCTCATATTGTAAGAAATATGAATAAATATCATCAAATGTTTAAACGTTTGTTTATATTTCCCTTCTTCTTATGCATGTGTTTAGTGACAAAGAGGAAATTAAGCCCGATTTAATGAATGGCCTAAATTTTGTTTGCAATAAATGTACATATTTTTCTTCACTGGTTTCTGATGATTGTTGATGATCTGATAAATTCAAATTTCCACAGCATGTTAAGGACTAAAAAGTATCTATGCAGAAATACAATGTATATCTAAACATGATAGAAAATTTTCCCAGGTCCTGACACCAAGCTCATGCAGAACAGTGGAAAGACAAAATTCAAACGGACCAACATTGATCACCTGATGAATGTCCTGGTTTTGTGGGTAAGTAACTAGAACTAGAATCTTTGTGAAAGCAAGCATTTACCTGATACAGTTAACTAACATAAAAAAGTATGTCTTAATTTATCCTTTATCCATATCAATGACTTAAAGCACACTGAAAAACAATAATTTAGAAATTAAGTTAGCATGTAAACATCTGAGTTGAAACTTTGATTGTCTCAAGCTGAAATAGGCAAATTTCTATCACCTTTTATGAGTTGTACATGCTTTTTATTATATTAATGTTTAGGATTGTGTCTATTCCACCAGATTTTTGGTTTCCTGTTTACCATGTGCTTCATTCTGGCCATCGGCAATGCTATCTGGGAAGTGAAAGAGGGCTCCGTCTTTACCGTGTTTCTTCCACGTGATCAAGGCGTTAATGCTGCCTTGTCCTCCTTCCTCTCGTTCTGGTCTTATGTCATCGTCCTCAATGCAGTAGTGCCCATTTCCCTCTATGTCAGGTATAAAGATAAGGAAATCAGACAGAAACTGTTTGTGACTATATTTTTTTTACTGCTGTTGCTGCTTTTGTGTCATCAAATCTTAACATATTTTTATGCATGAATGTCAGTGTGGAGATCATTCGACTTGGGAACAGCTACTTTATAAACTGGGACAGAAAGATGTATTATCCTAAGAATGACACTCCAGCTCAGGCAAGGACCACCACACTCAACGAGGAGCTAGGCCAGATTAAATACATCTTCAGTGACAAGACTGGCACTCTGACACAGAACATCATGACATTCAACAAGTGCTCCATCAATGGAAAAAACTATGGTAGGTAATACAATTGGGCTTCGTTCGAATTGGAATGATTCAGGTTCTGATTTCTTATATCGATTCAGGCTAACATCAATTCTCAATTCTGATTCTTTCAAAAATGAGATGGTCTAAATTTCTTAATGAAGTTTAATTCCTTTGACAACTAACTTGTGAATTACTATAAATTACCACAGTTATTTTCAGTCAGTATATAAATTTCAAATCAATGAACTCTAATATAAATCATAACTGTTTTTCCACAGAGTTACACTTTCATATGGAACTCTCTTTCTGAAAGTCTCATTAGAATACATATATCAAGTGTCTGATGCTGGAGGTACACATGCCGTATAGTACAATTTTACTACTTAATTTGCCCGATTCTGGTGGTGACTGTTGGAGCTGGAAGAAAAAGTAAACAGAAGGATGGTTCAGATTTTATATCCTCAGTATGGTTTACTGAACCTCACTTCCGCCCAACTAGACATGGAAGTACTGATGTTTTACTGATCACTTTAGTGATCTGATTTTTATATTCTTGGTCAGTTAGTGGGTTTGCAATAGAGCCCAAATGAACTAAAATAAACAGATGATGATGTTATGTCTTAAAATCATTCATAGGTTTGGCCGATTTACATGTGGGTAATGAGAAGGGTATCTGTTAAGATGTAAAAAAAGAGAAATAGTTTAGCAAAAAACGGTACATGCTCTCTGTGAAAAGAGCACTACGAATTAAGAGGAAGAACAAATTAAAGAACTTGCCTTGTGCAGAACTTACCTTACAATACCAGTACTGACAGATGAGAATCTCATCCTCAGTTTAGTGTATGCACCATTCCTTGTATTGTGTAATTCCATCTCCAGTGTTGTAGGTAGTCGACTTGTCATTTTTTTCATAAACATGTACAACCACTCCTGTGAATTATTTTCCCCTGATATCACCCATTCAAATAAAACATTTGAATGGGTGTAGGACAGTTGAAAGGTTGGAACTGGTTCCAGTGAGATATCAATTCTCGTTGCCCAACCCTAATTGGCTATTTAAATATTGACACAAAAGGGACACAAACACAAAAGTGGTATGTTATCTGATTATTTAATATGTATGTCTCTTTTTTAGGAGACCTTTATGACTTCTCTGGACATAGAGTTGAAATAACAGAGGTAAGCGGCCACATGGCAGCAATTCTTAGTGAATTTATTGAAAGATGATAACTTCTTAAGCTGCTGCCCCCGCGACCCGACCCCGGATAAGCGGAGGAAGATGGATGGATGGATGGATGGATGGATAACTATGACATAGCCTCATTATATAATCTCTCCACAGAAAACGCAAAAAGTGGACTTCTCCTGGAATAAGCTGGCAGACCCAAAGTTCGCCTTTCATGACTATAGCCTTTTGGAGACTGTGCGAGAGGGAAACCCTGAAGCTCAGGCCTTCTTTCGACTATTGGCTCTGTGCCACACCGTCATGCCTGAAGAAAAGAAAGAGGGTCAGATTATCGATATTTTCATTAACAGTAGTTGAGAAAGCTTTAAGAAAGCTTTACAGAGATTACTGGAAAACTGGGTCTAAAAAATTTGTCTACACCCTATTAGTTTAATGAGTAACTCTAAAATATTTAGAGTTTAGCATGTTAAAATAAGTTAAGCAATGCTTCAATTTGACTGACTATTACAGAATATTCGTTCTTTAAGATAATTCATTATTTAAGAAAAGTCATGGGCTAGTGCTTTAAAATTTTAAGTTTTAGAACAAAATCCTTTAAAAATAATCTAGTACAACTTAAATGAAAAACAATTATTAGGAGATTAGGAGCTAAATATGGTTTAAAAAGCACTCTATTTACATAATACCTAGCAGTAAAACTGTCCACTGTTAGACTAATACTTCAATTGATTAAGTCTTTGCAGGACTTATCCTGTGTTACACATATTGTCTCTAACAATTTTCACACCATAATCTGTCAGTTTTAGAACATTTTTTGTCCACAGTCCTCTTCAGTTTACTTTGTGTTAAGTTTTATTCTTTGTCATATGACCATGACATGGTCATATGACAAAGTCATATGAAAATACTATTTTCAAAACCAACTTGAAAATAGTATTTTCTTCCTTCAAATCATCCTTTTGCTGATTTGGAATAACCCATATTTTCCTTCATGAAAAAAAAAAACTTTACAATTTTGAGTTATTACTTAATTAAAAGTGATTAAAAGGAATTAAACAAAAATACTGTTCCAATTGAAAAATTAAATGCCAAACTGGTTTGCTAAACTGGTTTGCATTAAAAACACCATCTGGGACTTCCAACTAATGTGGTGGTATCCTTTCCTTTTCTTTCCTTGCCTTCCCTTTTATTTCAATTCAGTTCAACTCACCTCAATTTTAATTCAATTAAAAAATACTGTATTTTTCACAAAGGGAAATTAATTGTTGCAGAAACTCATGGGCAGTTTTAAAAAAAAGTAAAGCAGTCTGAATTGTTTTAACTGAACCAGACAAATGTGATAAGCAAATGGGGTCCTGTTAGCTGCTTTTTTGCTTGCTTAGATGGCCAACAGAGGTTTATCTATGACCTGCATGATGAGGTGTGATGTGGTCTCCCATATGTCTGAGCTGGATTGTTGAATATACACAGTAAAATATCCAGGATGTTATTCATAAGCACTGGCAACCCACCTCTTTTGAGTTTGCAATTCTTTTTTAAAGTATGCTAAGTCTGCTTGTATGGTTAAAAAGCCTGGCAGATAGATGCTGAAGTTTTGCATAAGCTGCAGCAGCCCCATATTACTAAAACTCATGATTCTGCACTGCAGATTCTAGCTGGGTCCTTGCTGGGACTTGGATTCCGTTAACTTGTTTCCTAAAGGTCTCAAATTGCCCCTAATTTATGGATTTATGGAAGAGAAGGCTTACATTTCCTGTTGCTCTCTCTTCTCCTTGCTCCTGCTCTACATCATTTGGGTCTTCTTTTGAACTCAACCAGTTCTTGCAGAAAATGCTAAAGTATTATTTCAGCTTTAGAGATGTTGAACCTGTCCAAAAATGAAAATTAAATATTAAAAACCATGATTCACAAACAGGGGAGCAAAAGTTCTCTTAAAAAGGATCCAAGCTTGCAGAGCAGCACTAACATGCAGCTATCTTAACCACTGCAATTCTAGACACAAACTTCGAAGTGTTACTACCATGCAGGTTTGTATCGCGGTTCTGGAAGGAAAGGCATCTGGGAAAAACTTTACTGAGTCATATTGATGTACCGTGAATAAGAGGACAGATGAAAAGACGCACACAATAATAAAAAAAAAAAAGTATTTGGAACTCTTGCTGGAGTGTTAGTTTATTTTCTACAGACTTTGCTAAACTCTTCAAAAAGAGTTTGTTAAAATGTGTGTAGGATTTGTTTCTTTTCTTTAAACGGGTTTGATTAATTGGATCCTTTGTCCTCTTCACCACCTTGTAGGGGAACTGAACTACCAGGCTCAGTCTCCTGATGAGGGCGCTCTGGTCACAGCAGCAAGGAACTTTGGATTTGTGTTCCGCTCTCGCACACCTGAGACCATCACCATCATGGAGATGGGCGAAAAAGTCACATATGAACTTTTGGCCGTTCTAGACTTTAATAATGTCCGGAAGAGGATGTCAGTAATAGGTCAGAAAAAATATTAAATATCACAATCGGAAAATTTGTTTTTCATAGAATTTATGTTCAACATTGTTTTACGTTTTTCTCAGTACGTCACCCTAATGGCAAGATGACCTTGTATTGCAAAGGGGCTGACACCATCATCTATGAAAGATTAGACCGCTCTTGTAAGAAACTGATGAAGGTTACAACAGATCATCTTAATGTAAGAGATATGTTTGTATTTTTTATTTAATTTGAGCTATTAATATGTTATCCTTAGTCTGAACTACTTTTGAATTATATAACCAAATTAGGAATATGCAGGAGATGGGCTACGCACTCTTGTTCTGGCCCACAAGCACCTGGAGGAGAACTATATGGAAGAGTGGACACAGCGCCACCATGAGGCCAGCACAGCCCTGGAAGGAAGGGAAGAGAGACTTGATCAACTTTATGAGGAGATTGAAAAAGATCTGATTGTTAGTTTATTTGCTATGCACATGCACAATTATTAGTTAAACTATTTCCCATATTACAAAAAGGTCTATTTACATTATGAGCTCATTTTTTTATATTTGCTTCCAGCTGTTAGGAGCAACAGCTGTTGAAGACAAGTTGCAAGACGGCGTTCCACAGACAATTGAGCAGCTGGCCAATGCTGACATCAAACTCTGGGTGCTGACTGGTGATAAACAAGGTAGAAATTAATATATAACATTTGGAATCATGTATTTTTAAGATGATTATGAAATTTTATGAAGCAGCCATGTTATTCATTTTAAAGTTAGTGATATTGTTATTCTTTAACAGAGACAGCAGAGAATATTGGTTACTCATGCAACATGCTAAGGGAAGATATGAAGGAGGTGTTCATTGTTGCTGCTCATACAGCTGAAGAGGTTAAACAGGAGCTGCAGTGAGTCAAAGAGTAACTTATTATTGCAAAGAAGTGAATGTGTTAATTTTAAGAGTTTAGTTGTTATAACAAGATAAAACTTGTTCTAAAAAAACAACCAATAACAGAAAAAAATATTCACAAAATAAAATTATATAGCATTATTACTTGTAATTTTTTGTAAAGGACATCACTGTTTTTAGGTATGCCAGACGGATGATGTGTCCGGAATCAGCAGAGCAGCCTTCTGTGAAAAAATGTCGTGCAGGGCTTTTTTGGCTTCAGAAAATGGAGACAGTGCAGGATGAAAAAGTTGAAGGGGATTATGGTCTGATAATAAATGGACACAGCTTGGTAGGTATTACATTCTGATTTATTTACCTGTAATTCTGTGAAAAGATGTTTAAAACTATCCATTTGTTGAATTTAGTTGGACTATGGGGCTCATAACAAGGAATATTTGATATAAATACAAAAAGAAAAATCCAAATAAGCACAAACTCCACAAGTTGCCATCCAACTGTGCAGAGCAGGGGTGCAAAACTAACGTATCCCTTCCGTGCCAGCAGGATGTGCAACCAGACAATCATTGCTAGGTAATCAGTTGTCAGCTGCTGCTGAAAGTTTTAAAGCATGTCTTCTGATATGGCATGATTATCAACAAGAGTGCCTTTGTAACCCTCTCTAGATGAAAAGTCAGAGGCAAGATGAAAAGGAAAAGCTGAATGATACTAACAGGTGGACTGTAGCTACAGAGCAGAGCTTACAAAGCTGAGCTAGAACGTGGAGGAGCATCCTATAATGGTTAAAATCTTGTATTTACTAGAATGTTTGAGAAGGGCTGAAAATGTTAGCAGTTTAACATTTTTAGCAACTTACTAATAGTCTAACTGCTGCGTTTCCTGACCAATACTGTACAAAGATCTCACACTTATTAATCAATGCAGGTTAGTGTCCATCAGACAGATGGCTCTTTCTAGTTTGAGATGTTAAAAGAACAACAAAAATACACTAAAATGTTGTGGAAAGACTCTTGGTCAATGCTGCAAATTATCCAACGAGTAAAATAAACAATATTGACCAAGACATAGAATACAACTTCATAAAAAATTACTTTTTCATCCCAAAGTGAAATCAGATGTTAACTTGTATAGGAGATAACAGCCAGAGGCAGAAGGCGTCTCCTGTAGCGGTCTGTCTGGCAGCAGATCTGAAGAATACTGAGGATACTAAAAAAAGATAATCGAGATTCAGCAGTCTTCCAAGGAGGATACCCTGCATTGCCTTTAATGTTGTTCAATTTATGAAATATTCTTCTTTGTAAAATAATTTCCAAAGATTGCTTAGGAGTTCTCAGAAATTGTATCAGCTGGTTTAGCTTCTTTGAGTAATTTGCTGTGATGCTGCTTCCCCAATAGCTTATGGCAGAAGTGTTCAGTATCTCTACAACAGACATATAGAAGACATGCATCATGTTGCTGCAAACACCAAAGGACCTAAAATAATGAACATTATGCATTAAAAAAGGCTTTTTTGTCAGGTTGGTTGGAGGCTTTGAAGACCCAAATGCAGAGATGAGTAGGCAGAGATGAGTTTTGCTTATTTAATTAGGGACTAACAGGCAACTGGGGCAAAAATACAAAAATGCAAAAATACTGAAAACCAAACAAAATCCAATAAACTTCAGAGAAATATACACATGGGGAGCAAGACATGGGGAAGCAACAAAACATCAAGAAACCAGCAAACAGGAACTGCAGAGGTGGTGTATATATGGGAAACAGAACAAAGGATGGGCTAATGAGCTGATATGAAGCAGGTGTGAAAAGGACTAAGTAGGAGGGAGCCAAGGGGAAGAAACACACAAAGGGGGCAACAGAGAGCAACCAAACTGACAGAAAACAACTACAGAGGGCAGAAACCTGATCATTTTAATTTAATCAAAAGACCTTTCAGTTTTTTATGTAGGTCCAGGATTTTCTATTGAGTTTGGAATTTTGGGATCATTGCAACAACAGTATGAAGAAGTTCTAAACAATTACTATATAAATAATCCTCATTTTCAAGTTTTAACACATAAAAAGTATTTATGAATCAAATCGATTGCATCAATCACAACATGTTGTTTCAAGGCATTTAGCAAATTGAAACATATCATAACATAACAGCTGTTGTTTAATAGTTTTACATCTAAGTAAACCCAGTTACAGAGTCACTGACTTTGCAAAAGTCTCTTTTCTCAATTCTTACAAATTGTTTTGGAGAATAATCTAGTCAGGTTTGTACCAATCTATTTAATTTTATTTTTTTATTTTCCTTATGACAAAAAAAATAATAATTTATGATTCACAAATAAAAAAAAAATATTGGACGTTTTATGGGGTCATTTAGGTCTCTTCTCTGCTCAGTCTAGGCGAATCCAATCAGGAGTTCATTGGTCTTTATAGTGGGGTTATTTCTTTTAACTGGAGATAAGTCCTTATCTCTATTGAGCTTTACTCTTAAAAGAAGCTGATAGCAGAGCTTGTTCCAGTGTCATTAGCAGCAGTCTTTAGTGAAAACAATCACTCTTGTTATTCTCATAATGATTTTGAATCACTGTGTTTGATTCATTTTTTCTGCTAAGAACCTGAAATGCTGCCAGAAAAACAATTTGAAAATGGTAAAGGCTTTTACAAATTTTTGCTACCAATGCCATCAGCTTGCCTGTATTCATCCACTATCTAAGCAAACCAACCTCAGTCAGTCCACGTTGGACAGAACACCTCTGATGTCATCAGCCTAAGCACAGGCTCCCCTCAGGGTTGTGTCCTGGTCCCCCTGCTGTTCACTCTGTTGGAACAGGTTCACCATCAATCCCATCCAGTTTGCAGAAATCCAGACTCTTCGACTTACTTCATTGAACAAAGTCATCATAGTGGATATCTAATCACTAGACAATTAATTGCACCTATTTGTATATATTTTAAATTCTTTGTACCCTAGTATTATATCTGTCTAAATGTGTGGTCCCTTCCTGTTCTCTTTAGGCTTATGCACTGGAGAAGGATTTGGAGTTGGAGCTGTTAAGGACAGCATGCATGTGTCAGACGGTGATATGTTGTAGGGTAACTCCTCTGCAAAAAGCACAGGTCGTTGAGCTGGTCAAGAAATACAAGCAGGCAATCACTTTGGCCATTGGGGATGGAGCCAATGATGTCAGCATGATCAAGGGTAAAATCTGAAGTCCCAGAAGAGTCAAAAAGCTGCTATGAATATTTCTCTTCATTTTGAAAAATAATGCTCTGTTGTGTTTCAGCGGCTCATATTGGTGTAGGAATCAGTGGTCAGGAGGGGATGCAGGCGGTTCTCTCCAGTGACTTCTCATTTGCACAGTTTCGTTACCTCCAACGCCTCCTGCTGGTGCATGGGCGCTGGTCTTACATTCGCATGTGCAAGTTCCTACAATATTTCTTTTACAAGAACTTCACCTTCACATTTATGCATTTCTGGTATGCCTTCTTTTGTGGATTCTCTGCACAGGTAAGTAAAATACTGAATACCATTTTGCAAACTCACAGTGATTGTACGATGCACACATTGCTTGATAGGTACAGTATATGAATAACCCTAACCCTAGCTTTGTGGGCATTGTGGTAGAGAGCAAATGTCCATGCCTGTAGTTTCCATTATTGTCCAGTGTCTTTGTATTGGCCTATGTTTAAACCTTATAGTAAAACATCCTTTAGATTTGTTTATATCATCGTCTGAATGCTTTTTAGCTCTAATTCTATTACACTATCAACTGCTATTTTTTTTATAGAATCGTTAGACTCTATAAATCTGGAAGGCTTCTTGCTGTCTCTTAGATATCCTTTCCAACTATACCCAGAATTTATTTGATATTTATTAATGGTTAAAATCTTGTATTTACTAGACTGTGTATGATGAGTGGTTCATCACTTTGTACAACTTGGTCTACACATCCCTCCCTATCCTCAGCTTGAGCCTCTTTGACCAGGTATGGCTTCATAGGATATAAGTCACGATTCTGTAAACTGAAAGAAATGTTATAAGTTCTTTGGGATTTAATTATCTTCTTCTCAATTTTCTGCAGGATGTTAATGACCGCTGGAGTTTTCAGTATCCCCAGTTGTACTGCCCTGGCCAGCTCAACATGTATTTCAGTAAAAAAGCCTTTGTGTGGTGCATGTTGCACAGCTGCTACAGTTCCCTAGTCCTCTTCTTTATCCCCTGGGGTGCAATCCAAGATACAGTCCGAGATGACGGCAGAGATATCGCCGACTACCAGTCTTTTGCTTCTCTGGCACAGACCTGTTTGCTTGTTGTGGTGAGCGCTCAGGTGAGAAAAAAACTGTTTTTGTAACAGGAAAATATGAGTTGATGAGTGTAAAACGATGAGAGCAACAAAGGCACACTGTTATGGCCACAAACTTTGCTTTAGCAACACTGGATCCTCAAATGAGAGGTATATATTTAGTATAAAATTT